GTCATCTCCTTGTGAGACCCTGTACACTGGAAAAAAATCGAAATCTAGATGAGTCATTCTTTGTTAAAATAAGTGCATTTGTTCTTGGATTGAGGAGGTAAAAGAGACATTTTGCCAATGGAACAAGACAATTTACATTTAAAATAAGAAAACACAATTGCATTGTCTTATTTCGGGCGCATATTATCTAATTATCTTATTTTAAGAGTAAAACTTATTTACCTGCTAAAATAAAGGGGAAATACACTTAATTTAAGAGATGTTTTACTTATTTCTAGATCGTTTTTCCAGTGTATATATGCAGTATTTCAACTCGGCTGTTACTTTGAACACTGGAGAAACGATCTAGAAATAAATAAAACTTTATCAAATTAAGTATATTTACCCTTAATTTGAGCAGGTAAATGAGATGAGTATTTTTACTCTTAAAATACACTTGAAATAAGAGAATGTAATTGTGTTTTCTTATTTTAAAACTAAATTATCTTGTTCCATTGGCAAAATGTCTATTTTACCTCCTCAATTCAAGAACAAAGTCACTAATTTAAAGAAAAAAATGACTTTGCAGTGCAAGTTTTATTCATTCATCTAGATTAGTATTAGATACACTTAATAAATTCTTAATCTGTGTCACTGTGTGTATTCTCATAAAGATTTCTCCTCACGTGTCCCAGTGGATATGGTGAGTTGATATTTTCAATAGAACTTTTGCAGTTCTCCAAAATAGCATCTATTAGCAGTTTCTTCCAGAAGATACTCAGCCCTGCTCCATCACCTCATGTTCTTCCAGCTTTGGTGGGTTTTCCTTCGAGATGTTCAAACAGGGTTCCTACTCATTCCTCATGGTGACAGTTTGTGCCTTTTTTCCCGGGCCTTTAGGTCCATTTTAAGTCTGTTAAAGAACAACAGGACGGACCTGAGGTAAACCAGAAGGAAGGAAAACATGCACTGGAAAAAATCTATAAGCCATTTTTTCTTAAAATAATTGCATTTGTTCTTGGATTAAGGAGGTAAAAGAGACATTTTGCTAA